GTTCTAAATAGCAGCCCATTCCATTCGTAAACCCCATAAGCACCTATGTGTATGGTTGGCTACGTACGGCGCAAAAGAAGTTCAACAACATACAACACAACCCATAACGGATCACTGAATTCGACATAAACATGAAGCATTCAAAATAACACACGGACGATGAAACCGAAACAAAAGTTGCAGAGTGCGCGAAGAATGCTGAAAAGCACGCTTGGAATTGCACTGACAGAAGGAGAAACAAACACAAATCGGGAGACACCTTATTGACTTTTAAGGAAAGTAAAGTAGGCTAGGGCAGGCGCTCATTTCTGAAAAGGGACGACGGCCTATGCAAGAAGCTGTTGATGGAATGGCGGTTCAAGAAGAGGTCTGCCCAATGCTTACGAACACCACAGGGATGGAGCGACAAGATCAGTGAATGTGCAGGAGCTGGATGAACTGTTGCAATCACAATACCATGACGGATAACGATGGTGTGGAGGAGTCGTCATTCAGCGGCGGACACACAATGGCTGATAACGATTCAGTAAGAAGGAACACGCATTGAGCGCACATTACAAGGCCGAAACTATTCCCATTGTCCCGCACTCTACGCTCCGCCCTGGTACCCAATGCGCAAAACACAATTCCCCATCATCCGGAACGCCCCCTGCACCACTCGCCCTCCCAACCCACTGTTCTTCTCGACGAGAGAACACCAAATGTTCCTTGTATCTCCCAATGGATACCCCATGAAATTAAGCAGTGCCCCTTGTATGACCCTATCTCTCTACACCCTACTCTGCAGTCCCCAGACACCCAACTGATAAGGTACTTAACAGACTTGTACTCCCTTTATGGGGGATAAACCGAGGGCTTTGGCCAGAGCACTCCCCCACCGAGAAACCACATGGCCTTGTAGCTTCCAGCTGTCATCCATTCATCACCTCCCAATCTGCATACTAAACGGATCGCTGACGGTTTTACAGCTACGGTTTAATTGGATGTACAGCACACCGACATCTGTTCTCATTTTATCCACGAAGGAAAGCGATGATCGAGATATACCGCACGTGCTGCTCCTGTCAGACAAGCGGTGTTTTGTTGAAGCTGCCAAATTCAATGCCGCTTCATTCAAACTGATCTCTCCTACACTTCTTCATGGTGGCTTTAAACCATGAATCTGCCCCCTGTACACTTGCAAACTTGACTCGAGGATTTCCTGAATCAGCAACAGCCATCCGAAAATGTCCCTGATGAAGCAAAACGGGCCTGAGTCAAGTAAACGGCACTTAAATCTGAATGTCAATCGAGCCCGGCGGAGGTGCCTGTGCACACCTGCAATCCAGCGCTGTGGAGGGACCGAGAGTTGGTGGACCGCACAAATGTGACAAAACTCCCTTCCAGTGGCCATCAATGAGGCGCTTATTCCCTGGCTTGCCAGGAGAACAAAGCACGGCAAAAATGTGGTCTCCACGTTCCGTTTGTATGTGACGGAGTGTTTCCCCTTTGTGCGCGCCGGTCTTCTCCGGGCGCTCTGGTTTCCTCCCCCAATTGAAGCACTCATTATTTGGCCGATAACACCTTCGCACAGAGAACCTCGGAGCTTGAGCAAATGTTGTCACTTGCTCACTGCATGGCTGCCTTCCTACTTGTCCGTGGTTCCTCATGCCTCTGAGTCATTCTCTCTTTGACAACGAGTTAATACTATACGTTGCATTGCAAGGTACAATTATTATAAATCAGTGCGCTGTCTTAAACAGCTGCGGAACATGAACACGGTGGTGTTGCAAATGTTTATTTTTTTATCGTGCCCATCAGGTGGGTCCGACATATCTTATGTGTAATATACCAACGGAATTCCTTGTGTGCAAGTGAGCTGCATTAAACACCCTATATACACCATGGTAAAATGACATGGGAGACACCACTGCTTATGAATTTCTCGTGGAGGCATGAAGCATCATATATCCGTCGAGTACCACAAGTTTTTTGACAGCAATGGTACATTTTAACACTAAATTGTAATGCTCATAAAATCAGGTATCTACTTAAATATATAAAATGTAATTAGAATCTTTACAATGCCGCTTCTCCCTATATGGAATTGAAATGTGAATAACGGCGACCAGTCCTGAAAAAACTGCTCACTGCACCACTTGCCATATTTGCACACCAGTTACATATAGTTGCATTATTTCAATGACGGCCAACGGCTCAAATATAATTCCTTCATCTCCCCCCCCCCCCCTGTACCATGTTCCAACATTTGTTACATCTGTTGTAGAATTATTATCATCATTGGTTGCATATTATTGCCATAGCCCCAAAGCTTGTGTATCTGCTCATAATGCAGCAATTTCACGGTAATAATCTGGATAAGCAATCATAAGCAATGCAACAATGTATATGTTTAGTAATGGATATCTTAACCATAACCGAGACGCTAAGTAGTTTTCCCGCTGCTGTTTTCGCTACTAATTTGTTTTAAAAAAAATCATATGAACCAAAACACTGCACACAACATTACCATTCAATTCTGACTCTAAAAGCCAATCCTTTGAAGGTATAACCCTAACCTAGATCACACCACTGTTTGTTTGTCATAAGTCAAATCCCTATTAACATTTTGGCCTTGCCATGCTCCCACAGTAAATACAGATCAATCAAATTGCACATAAAAAGGGCATACAGCTCGGAAAGCAGTGTGGTTGAATGTCTTTGTATGCGTGCGACTTTGTGGGTGCACGTTTTAATCGCCCCGATTCGTTTTACTGGTGAATTGCCAGGCATTTTTTAAATAATACGCCTCAGGCGTTCATCCTTCACCGAGCTCGCTAGGATTTATCAACTATTCACATTAAAAAGTCATTCTTTTTTTACAACTTCCCCAACATTACCTAGGTAAACACATTAACACTGTGACGCTAAAAATATGCCACCGTAGTAACATCTTTGTATTAAAAAAAAAAAAAATTACGCTTTCAATGTTTTGACGCCGCATTCACTTGGTTCCATAATGGCCCGTGACAAACTTTGACAAGCCGCACTTGAGAAGTAACACATTCGTTTGACGGGTTACATTTAAAGTTCCACTTTTAATATCTTGCAACATATTCTTGGTTCTTTTGGTAAAGTCACGTAGAAGGGAAACAATAAAATAAAAAAATATGATGATTGATTGTGTTGCAGTCGAAACGTCGTGAGGATTTTATTGTTTTATATTTGTATTATTTTATTGTTTCCCTTCTACGTGACTTTACCGAAAGAACCAAGAATATGAATCCCTGCAGTCACGAAAGCTTTAAATCAAAATCTTGCAACATGTTAGCCGACATCTTCATTCCAATGTGTTACTGGTTATATATTTTAACAGGAAAGACGTCGTTTCAATGAACACTTTCAAGCCCAACGCAAGCCACTCGCAGACAAAACACCCCCCCCCCATTATTATCATTCTTGATTTAATTCACAACATTTTCGTCCAATTTCATTCCGCTACTATATTTTGTTAATAAGGCACTTGAATATATTTATATTCGTTGTGAATAAAGCACCAGTGAGATACACCATCGTCCGGGAGCAATGCAAAAAGCAATAAAATAAAAAAAACGCATTTTTATGTGCATATAAAGCCAAGGTTGTGGCAGCCAAAGTCAAAGTCATAAAGAATCAGCAGTAGGGAGAGCTTAGACAATCTGCTAAGCAAGCAGACTCAAATAGCAAGAACAGGGTAACACTACCCACATTTCAAATAGGTATGAGTTTAAAACGCTTTTTACCAAGTCACCTTGAAAGAGAACATCTGGCAACTAAGATAACATTTGCCGAAATGTATTTCACACAACAAACGATCAGTAATCAATCTTGCTAAGCGGTTAATTATGAATTGGCTAGTGTGCCCGTCACAATTCCGTTCAGGCACGACCGCTCGCATTCATTGAAATGCTTCATGTAAATCTATTCTCCTTCATTGCAGCTCATGCTGGTCCCTCTTCCAAGGCTGAGGGAATATATACATGACTCACTGTGTAGAGCAAAATCCAGTCCTTCCTATACAATTAATCAATCACGTAAAGGCAAGAGACAGCCCATTAAAATACAACAGCCCTTTTACATCGGGAGATATGTGAAAAACGATGAGGCAGTGAAAGAAAAAAACACTCGAATGCAAGCGTGCCACAACTGAGGCATGTAAAACATGACACAGGTTACCGACACAGTAAGGACAATGTGTATGTGATACTTGTAGAATATTTATAATTGACGGCTTAATCAATAGAATTGAAGGTTTTGTGCCGGCGTGGACCACCTTTCTTCTCACAAAACCATTTCTCAAAACAGCCCAATCCATCTCCATGACTTAAGCTCACATATGAGAGGTGTAAAGTGAAATCAATTACAGAAAAATGCTGCTTTTGACCACACATCATTGATTCTTTAATTTTCAGTTGGATATCCCAAACCTGTTCAATACATGAAAATAATGCCAAACACCAGAACTAAAATATGTGAAAAGAATTCCGAACACCAGACCTAACGATATCCTCATCTGTGGTGACCTGACCTCTTCTGAACGTCAAGGTCAGCCCACGTGTGTGAATATTCCAAGCTAGCTGGGATCTTGCCTGCTCTAAAATTATAGCTTGCCACTAAAGGGGCCGCCATTCATCAGACTCCAGTGATGGCAAGCTCTGCAGGTTGTACCGTCTTGCCAAACTAAAACTGAAGAGGTTCCCAGCATGTGCAGTGAAACGTCGGACATCATGCCGAACAGCAAGTGGTAACAGCCCGACAACACGTCGGAGAGCGACCTGGCACGATCGCAAAAGCCCAAGCGGCGGGGGACTTGAGTGCTCTTTGATATCTGTGGGAAGACTGTGGCCCACTTACATAGCTGTTTGAGAATCACGTTTGTACCGATTTGCGGAAACAAGGCAGCGCGAGTGGTAGGGGTAAGTGAAGCTCCGGTGAAGCCCTGCTGCTGGCAGTGGAGTGGGAGGGGGGGGTAGGAACCTTACCTCCTGACTGGTGGCCTGCAGCTCCTCCTCCAGGGCTGCCACTCTCTCCAGAGCCACCCGCAGCCTTTCCCGCACCTGCCCACGCGCACACCAAGACACCGATCCCCATTAATCCTGATACACACTGGGGCCAGGTGCTGTTAGTGAGCATCTACCAAAGGCTGGCGCACGTCGGGGTGATTGGGCCTATAACAATTCATTATTATTTTGTATCTCCGACACAGATGTTCGCAAACTGCACAAGGTTCTCATTTTAGGCCGAGTTAACCTATGGGAGGCTCAGGCCAGATTCAGATTCAGTTGTATCAGGTGTTGACATCAAAGCCACAGCTCATACCAAGGCAGCCAATGTCAAAGTCCCCATGGTGCGGGCAATTATTATACAAACACGCATATGCTAAAAAAACATGTAATTTCCAAATACAAACGAACACACACATGTACATGCACATATATATGCATGTACACTCAAAGACAAAGATCACCCGGACAGCCTACATAGAGTTCTGGTGTAAGTGGTGTTAGCAATAACCTATTAAGACTGGCATGGTCCACGAGGGGCTGATGTGTGTCCAGTACTACGCCTGGACATATTTGTCTCCCCAGTAATGATGTTATTGTTATGGCCAAGTCAACCAGTGGGAGGGCCCTGGGCCGATGCTAGGTGTGGCTGGGATCAAACTGAGGTAGCTGGGTTTTCAGTGGAGGGCGCCAACTGCTGCATCATCGCTCGCCACTCACACACATATATATATAAAACCGTCATAGATGATGCACGTTCATCTCAATTGCAAAGCCAAGTAAACCGTCCAAAGCCAAAACATAACTGTGTCACGATTGAGGGGCAAGGCATAACACGTCAAATGTAGCAAAGAAAAAAACGTAAAATATTGTGGAAATATGTCACAAGCAACAATATGAGGTTGCGTGCTGGGCATAATTCCACACACCAACTATTCTTATATTCATGACACATGGAGGTATAGTTTGACGTAGGTCCCAATGCTCTGTATCATCATTAGTCCTGGTCCATGGACAGCTGGATGAGAACCTCCCTATGCCAATGCGATCTCTCGTGTTCTTCAATGTGCCAAATAATATTATGGTTTGCAAAGGGTTCAATGGAATGATAAAAAAAATTAGAAATTCTACAAACAAGTATGAGAACAGGCGTAACAATCACTTATTAACCAGCTATGAATGAGTACCCCCCCCTTGCCTGGGGGGGGAAGTTGTGGCAGCTTTTACTATTCGAGACTTTGATGCAGATGTCACAATAAGTCCAGCTGAATGGTCACATTGGGGCAGCCTACACGAGAATATGTGGAAGAGTCAATCGCGACTATCTTCGTGGAACGAAAGAGAGACGGGACAGAATCATGATGTTTTGTTTTCTGGAAAATACTAATGTCTCAAACAATGGACGATGTGACAGAGGAATAAAAACGAGGGTTTGGAAAAGCAAATTACGCGTTTGGGAACACCCTGCCCCCACCACAAGATATGGAACAAACAATTGGTCCAATCTACAGACAAAAGTCAGGTTATACTGGGCAATCATGCAATCCAGATTACTTTAATGAGCTGAGACCTGGGCATTAGCTGTGGTAAATGCCACGAGAGAAGGGGGCAGCAGGTCATAGTCCCAGAAAATGGCAAATAAAGATAAAGAATTACTGATGATGAGCTAGAGTGCAGACGAATGTGGCATCTGCAAGTGCTGCAAGTGTCACCAGGGAAGAGCTCCAGGTGATAACACAGAGACCACCACAAGCGTGAGGCACTGGGTTGCCTGGAGTCAGTGATGCAGCACGGACGACGTGGCTAAGTGAGCAATCTCTGTCACCGTTTGGTCCAGGAAAATGTCTGCATTTAGGAAAACAATTTCGTTCAATAATACATTCTGAAGTTCACAAACTTCGCCTCACTCTGCTCTTCATTGTTGTCTTTCAATTGTAATGAATGTATAATTAATGACACCAAAAAATGAAAAAGAATCACCTGCCAAACACTTCATTTCTCCCCAGGCAATATTTTAAGCAAAATTAATTACAATACGCTGAAGTTTGTTCAATCGAAAAGCTACGATTCAGATGATAATTACACCGTATAGAATAACAAGGCAAGATGATGTTATCTGCACTGTGGGACCACATTTCTTGCTTGTTGCATGTTTTACACTCACAGCGGCTCCCAACCACTGCTCACATTGTGAGCGATAATGCAAGCCTCAAAATAATGTATGCAACACATTGATTCATTGCATCGCTTGAGCTACGTCTAGCAATCTTTTTAAAATGACGACCGTAATATGTACGTAGAACTTCTTCTGCGCCGTATGTAGCCAAAAGTGTTAATCGGAAGGTGCGGGGGAAGGACAACAAACTAAACACAAAAAGCAGCCTAATGAATATGTATGCAAGTTGTATGCATGTGTATTTTAAAAATAATGGCTTTAGGAGATTGATTTTTCTAAGAGGCACAATGAAAAGCAATTTACTATCACTGTCAAACAAATTGTCTCGGTTACCTGTTTGGCTTCTGGTGAAATAATCACACACATGCATGCACTTAAGCACAAAGACAAAGATCCCCCATATAGCCTTAACAGACTGTAGGGGCAAGTGCTGTTAGCGTGCACCTATGAAGGCCGGAACGGTACATGAGGGGGTGAGTGGCCAGCACCACACCCGACCGCCTTTGTCTCCCTAGTGGCAATGTTTACACACCGCACCAGGTACTCATTTGAGGCTGAGTCGACCTAGGGGAGGCCCGGGACCGGTTCAGATAATCGTCACTGGTGTTGGCCGTGAGCGGGAATCGAACCCGGGTCGCCAGGTTCATAGCACAGCGCACTAACCGCGACACTTAAGCACGCCCACACACACACACACACGTACACATGTGCATACAGACAAGCCTTGCATGAATTTCCTTACCAGCTTCAAGCACAGATGGTTATCCATCTGTGTGACACTGTGGCAGAGCGCCAACGTCATATTCGGAGGGTTGCGAGTTAAAAATCAGGCCCAATGTTAACTCAGCACATCGATTATCTGGGGTCGATAAAATAGGTACTACTCTGTGGGAAGTCACCGGTCCTTGTCGTACGGTGAGAGTGATCCCTGTCATACGAATATGGAATTTCCAACATTGGCTTCGGACTGCCAATTGAGATGAGCGACGCCTGCTTTCGTGTGAGTTTGCAGATGCACTTTGAATGTTTTTCACTGTCAAGGCAATGTGTGTTGTATGTAAATCGGATTAGTTCACCATGATTTGGACAAAAAAAGTGGGGTATGTTCAGGTCAATTTACACTGAGGTTGCCGCAAATTGGTGAAACTACGCTATATCACGTGATGCAATATCTACAATAATAGCATTGTCCATCCCACAAATGATTGTTATGTTGTGATTATTATTGCTCATACAATCTCTCAGAAATATTTTCTACGCTGACAAATGTTTTATGAAATAACAAACTCAATGAACGTTTAAATAAATATCGGTTAGCCAGCAAATAATGCTTTCTGAAATGTTTTTCAGAGTAACTGACTGCATGGCGGTAATATGGCATCACCATTTCTGTAGTAAATGTAATAGTTTTTTTCTAGATTAGAAGTCTTATGCCAAATTAACAGCAGCTGAAGAAGGCCGCTTGTGTTGTGGCCGAAACGTCGTGATTTTTGTTATTTTATTTTTTACCTACGTGACTTTACCCAATAGAACCAAAGAGTATAGCAGCTGAAGAACTTAAGTAAAATCATCGTTATTCATGCTGGAAAGTACAGCACCTTCCGGAGAGCACGGTCGGCTACGTACGGTGCGAAATAAGTGCAACATACAAACAGCAAAAAGCATGACAAAAATACGATAAAAATTGCAAACACAATGTTATGGTCAACTGATGCCGCGATAATCGTCTTCGTAAACCTAATATCGCATCATCATGAGCGACGGTATCGCGGCAACCCCACGTCACACGCACAGGAGGGGGAATCGAGGAGATGCGTCGTGAGAGGGCACCTTCTCATCGAGAGCCTTGTGGTGCTCAAAGAGTGACTTGAGGGCCTTGAGCACCTCCACCTCGCTGGAGACGCCCGCCGGAGATTGCGCCTGCCGCTTCACCACCGTCATGCGGAGCGAGCGCTCGTGGCGAGACACCAGGCACTCCAGGTGCTCCAGTAGGAGCTGCGTGTGAGATACAAACGGCGAGGGGAGGGCACAGGGGTAAGAGGAGACCATGTAAAAGGCTGCCAATCATGATAGGTCTTGCTCCCCCGCTGTGCGTCCGGGTCGTGCTGTTTGTTGCTGGGCACGGGGGCTCCGTCGCGGCGCTGCGGAGCGAAACGCGACACAACCCCGAAAATACATCACAGGGTCTGGGAGCAGCACAATGGCGAAAACCTACCCAAAGCGGTGGCCTGTTCTGGAAACTACGCTTGGGAGGAACAGCACATTGCAACAATGAAAGACGTTGGCTACAGAACTCAAGTATTTCCCATGTTCAACCAAAAAAAACAAGCCCTTTTTACAGGCATCCTGCAGATGTCACTTCTTCATGCCCTGTATCGGGTGATGGCTGAGTATCTATCACCCAATTAGTGGAGGATTGTCTGTAGTCTTTGGTAATCGGGCTTGACCATTCAATTAGCCGCACGCAAGAATTTGGTTTTATCTCAAGTGATAGTTCCAAAAATCAAACCCAGAGAAGCTCAGCAGTGGCGACTTGGAAGTCTGCTAGCAGGTGCGAGGCCCCCCCAGAGTCACACAGCCGTTGCTAAGCAGGCCATGTTCGTTTCAAGCCCTCGAGGTCTGCTGGGACTGTGCTACGAGTGAGCACTTGTTACTCAGGGCAGTGCATCAGCATGCCTTGTGGGCCCTTTCAGCACTCCCAAGAGCCTTGCACAAATGCATTCTAGGGTGATTCACCCGAAGATGATCCTTACTGGAGACACAGCCAACATGATCTTTTTTATGTTAAGCAATTTTTTTTTGGGCAAGAGCTTTGATATAAAATGTGAATTGTTTGGACAGAGGCTCAAGCACGTATTCGTGACTGTGCCACAGCCGTTTAAAATCACGTCAGACAAGGGATGCACTGCGGCCATTCAATGCCACGTACAACCATTCAATAAGTTAGGAACCCAATATCAACACTGACTATTGCTTAATAATATAATTACAAGATTCACAACAATAGCTGTGGGCTTCAACAGCACACTCTACGAGAGTTTCTCAATGCGAAATGTGAAGAAAAAATGCAGCATAAGTGGGCTAAAGCTGATATAACCGATGGCTTCAAGTTCAGTTAGCAGACTTTGAGGCAGCTGCATTGGAAATGCCTACAATGTATCACTGTAATTTGGTGACAGTCGGGTATAATGCCATGTTGAGAAGCTTCCCTTTATCTTCAATTACACCCTCCTTCCCATTCCTCAACTCTTGATCACCATCCTCCCTCTGTCCTGATCACCACCTCTACTTAAAGCATGTGTTGCGTACGTCATAGTGTGTGGGGATAGTCACAAGGATAGACTTTCTAATTCGAGTTTATACAACACAATTTGGATTTAAGTATGGTAGAAATGCTACTGCATCCCAATTTCAAACATGGCTTTAAAATGAATTGCCCAATGCACTCCTCAGTTGTGAGATTCAGTTCGGCTTGAATTTTGATAAACCAATAGTATAAATACGACATATTGTGAATTGAATGAAGTCCACTATGATAAGGGTACCATTCACTGTGGGGCCTAGGGTGCCCGTGGACCCCGTTCTTAGAGCCTGAAAAGAGTTCTACTCTCTGCATTCAACAGCAAGTTAAAAGGGAATAATGCCATCGTGAAGCCTGGTGTGAGCCTATGTGATATCGTCAAAAACATCAACTTGTTATGACCAAAAGAACACCATTCAATTATTAGCATGAGGAATATACAGTACTGTACACCAGTGGTGTGTGCAGAATGGCCGACAGTGGGTAACTAAAGGAGATAAGCTAAACGTAGGCAACAATTAAATACATTTTAAAAATAAATATACCCACGTCATGATATTTCTTAATTTAAAGTGAATATAAAAGTCACCCACAGGTTTATGCTAATAAAAGAGACCTCCCATCATCAATTACCGCACTCAATGTATCTGAAAATTGTGTAAATGCATGCGCAAGGCTCTGATTCAGTCATTGGTCGCGTAAGAAATGTGCTAGCTGCTTCCTACCATACAATGACACATTGCGATGCTTCAGACCACCAATACACCTCCAGCTTATCTTCTTGACCACGTTTCAGCCATTTCCAATCGCAGAGCATGGCTTTTTCATGAAAAAAATCCAAATTTAGTTCTCTCTGTGGCCAGACATGCTGCTCCCAGTAAAAACTAAAAACGACAAATGCATTGCGTAACACGATGCTAAACAGTGGAACGCTATTGCGGGAAACTCGCTCGTGCTTGGCAGAAAATAAGTTGGATATTAAATAACGGCAGACCAAAAGCACTGCAATTATGGATCATGCATGACTTCTCCATCATCACTTCATACTCGTAATCAGCGATTATCATCATCATCATCATCCATCCACTGCGGAATGAAGGCCATCCCAAGCCGTAGCCATCGCTAATGGTCTTGCCATGCAGCGCGATGCATCTGGCACCAGCACCTGAAAACGAGCCAATATCATCTCACCATCTACACAGTACATGCCTTCTCGATGTGTTCTCATTTGGTTACCACTCCATCGTTCTCTCGCCCACTAGGCTATCATTCCTTCTGGCGATGGGCCCTATCCAGGTTCGTTTACTTTTCTTCACCGGTCAGTGAATATGAGGACTCTAAATTGCGCATATTTTCTGATCCACGTGCTCCTCTATAAAGTCTCCCAGTGAAATTCAAAGCACGCACCCCATCCACCTTTCGTTGCACATTGTTCAGATGCTGCCAAAGTCAATGTTTCTGAACCAAGTCAAAGCCAGTGATATGCAACCAATTAACACCTTTCTTTTTTTGGGAACATTGTTATTTTCCCAGTATACAATGTGGGGGGTCAACATTGTCACGTGGTTGGAACCGTTGGACCAACTTTGGCCCAACGTTTCATGCTTTCTCCCATTATTCACAGGTTATCATGGCGTTTACAAAACTTCACGTGGCATGGGATGGTACGTAGAATTCTGTGATTAGGACTGACGAGCCAGAGAGGGGCATTTATTGAGCAGTGTTCATCATTGTAAAAAAATAAAAACTGGAATTTATTAAATGAAGTGCGGGTTCAGTTTTCCAACACTTAGCTTAATCCTGAAAGTGTATCGGGATGTGTTGGATAAGGTTTTGGAAAACCTCCTCCCGTCAGTGTTCACCACAATAAATATACGTCCACGGGCATCTTTATTCAACGTGCAGCGTGCTATATGGGTCCTTTCCCGTAACTTTTATGCAATAAAATCACAAGTTACTGTCTGGCCTCCTGTCAATGGCTTTAACAAATGTTGCGATGAATGACACGCTCACATGCAGGACACTTACAGCGTATCCATGACATATTTTAAGGGGCCATGGTAACAGTTTGATGGATAATCTGAATGTCACTTCAACATCTATATATCCTTGTTACGAAGTTTTACTTCCTGGTATGTTGTTCTAGGGTTGACACCGATGCGCAATGTTGCACGCATAAATATGAAGACAGAAGGACCCCTCTTAAAATTAATGTGCAGCGTGCGGAACAATAAATAAAACTAAATTAACGTTACGCGCCATAAATTCAGATGATCCAGAACGCTGCTTTAATGTAATGCATATAGCAAAATAAAAGATAAAGCTTGTGGCAGGGTTTGTATTTACCCGGGGGACGCATTTTTACCTTTGATGGTAATACAACAGGACCCTTGACTTCATGTCAGAAATTATGGCCAATGAAAGTCACTTGCAATGGCTGAAATGTAGTTTCTGAGGCAAGGAACACATAATGTTGGGTTCTCTGTGTGCCATTTGCACATAGCTTTATATCTTCATTCCATTTAACATTACATTACGTGTGCATATGGTGTGCATTTTAAACAAAGAGTGTAAGTAATCCATGCAAGGTTGATTTCAAACAAAGTCTAGGTCCCCTTGGTAACCACGTTATTTATGAATAATGGAGATTGTAATTATTAAAATTGGATACTTAGGACTTGTTCATGTACCAAAATGCCCTGCTTGATTTATCAAATGTTTTAATAACAGATTAATAAAAATGTTACACCAACACGACAGAGCAATGGGTTAGTTTGGAAGTTCGTATTTGGGTATACTTAGAATCACAAAGGCCTTCACGCTGGAGGTTGTAGTATTCACGTTTAAATCCAACCGAGTGAGTTTGCACCTACAGTACTTTTAAACGTCTGTTCCTATATATATAAATTTTTCATTTTATCACTGCTGTACATCTTCATTAAAGCTGCAAATAAATTCAATTATTCCAACAAATGTGCCCTCTGAAACTTGCAGATTGGTCGTAATTAAACACATGGCGCTATAATTTATACAAACAATGACAATGTGTGCGACACGCAGGGAATTTCTAACCAGTGCCCATCGTTGGAGGGCTCCAGCGGTATTGAGGGAGGGACAGAGCGGAGTGGGATTTGGCTGGGCTCCCTTTCCTTCCTTGGCAGCGATCCCAGTTTTATTTTCTTCTGGGGGTCTGCCAACAATCTGTCTCGATAGTCATGCCCAACACAACCTTGACCATGAGATGAATTTAATAAAAGCAATTATTTTTGCAAAATCATGTTCAAACACCATGAGTTGCATTTAACGCAACCTAATTCCACCCCCCCCCCCCAATTTTTTTTATAAAATAGCAATGCAGCTCTGATTATATCAAAAATACATATGAGAAACTCTAATGTATTTTAAGCAAGCGGGAATCTACTGAGATACAAATGACAATTTTCACGAGAGACCAGGGCACTATATAGGAAAGTGACTCGTTTAATTTTAACATGAAGCTAAACGCCACTTTTACATTTGGCATTTGAGCCCAGACACTGGCACATAATAGCTTACTATTATAATGCTATCAGATGCTCAAACATTTAATTAACAGTGGAGATGCATGCTTGGATAATGTCCGACATCATTACGGCAGGGAAGTGAACCAAAAACTCAGTGCAAATTGGCCTGGTTCATGAACATTCCGCCCTCCTGGATTTTCAGCCACCAGGGTCATACGAGTGCATGGCCTGCACAATCACCAGGGGCAGTATACAGCCCAAGGAGGAGATTTACTCAATCTTGCCTTGAGAACATGCTAAGCCTTCTGCGCAAGTTAATTGTACATAAATGCCAGAATTAAGCGAGCCTTTGCATTAGACATACTAAAACAACACGGATTTCTTGCCCTGGCGCTGTATGAGCTTATTAACCCCAGACGTGCTGTAAAGTCACACACAATTTACATATTAACACGGCTGTTTGTCATTCACTAAACTCCATCCGGACCTCTGCACCTGGTTCCGCCATCCTCTGCGGTACGGCTTGTGATGGTATTTACACATTTTTTTGGACCTTTTTTGGACCGAACGGGGTAAATAACGGCTAACTTCCTCCATGGGACCCCGTCGGTTTAATTCTCAGCATCCAATTGAATTCCCATGGCCGGTGTACTTTTTTTTCAGGGACAGATTTTCCCGTAGCCATAACGATGCTTTACGACACAGGAGGCGTCTCTAGGAATGCAAATGTAGAGCATCGTGGCCGACTCGATCGCCACCACGGACCAGCCATTATCTCACACTAATGAGACACCTGCAGAGACAGCAGTGGAAAATGGCATTATCTGCACAAGAAACTAGAACAATATTAAATATTCCGCATCACACGAGGGAAATTCGAACCATCACTCCCGCAGCTTTATTAATCAATAAATGGTAAATTAGCGATCGTGCGTACTGTATAAGTACCCTAGGAGTTTTGGCAAGGGAATAGGGGGACGTAATGGGAATTACGTGCGTGAAAGCGAGGTCATTTAGCACAGTGTTTAACTAACACATGCGATATTTAACAATATGATATCAATATAAAATATAATATTTAATGTAACATAAATGGTGGACAAACTCCCAAATCAGTTAATTTATTTTAAAACAAATTCATTCGGTTTCACAAACCTATTCTGACAGCTATTAGAGGGGCATTATTCAACAATTAAATTAACACTAATTAAGCACATTAAAATTTTGACATTTAAAAGGTGCCATTTTGAAATTTTGAATTCAAGCTATACATTTATTTCCCAACCTGTTATTTCGAAACATATTTATATATGCATATTTTACACTATGAAGGTAATTAGCACTGCCTTGTCACTTTAAGATGTTTTTCTTGTTCGTGTTTTTGTTTGTTGTAGTTGCACCCAAGTCAAGAGCCGAATGGCTCTCAGGGCTATAAAAAAAACTGAAACTGGTGTGCCCATTATGTTACCTCCATCATGTGTGAGCTATCGAGTATGCAGGCGGTTCAACTGCACCTCCTCTCTCACTTGATTTTTCCTGGATTTTGCTGTTGCGCGTAGTCACTTTCAGATGTTCTTTGTTCATGTTTAGGTTTGTTGCGGTTGCACCCGAATCAAGAGCCGCATGGCTCACAGGGCTATACCAAATAAATGAAACTGACACCGAGGCCGATGGGCTGAATGGGCCCAGCTCCCAGGCTCCAAATGGAGGGAAAATTAGAGAGGCGACCTGAATTTATTCCATTAACCAAGGACCATGCCAACCGTGCTAGATAACTGTTGACGAATGTGTTGAATTTGTTTATTATGCTACGTCACTGATCTCCGTGACTATTTTCTCAGGTAACTGAAACAGCACTATCTCTAGCAGGATGCAGCTCTCTTCCATCGTTACAGGAACAATCTGCTGAGCCAAATACTTTAGCATTGTTTTAAGACCTCTGCAAACCACTTTTGTTTAAACATCAATGAGCTTAATAACAAAATAATTCATGGATGTGACAGCAAACATGTCAGAAGCTCGCCGAATACAATTTCAACAGACCACAGATTGTCAATTTCTGGAAGCTTCCAGCTCGTGGAGCGAAACCGTTGGACATCGTGAAGAGCAACAGGCGGTAACAACGAGAAAACAAGCATCGGAGAGCCGTACGGCACCACCGTGAACACCGAGGCAGCAGTGCAAGCCACAATAACACTCCATCAGTCAGTCCCATTGAATTGTGGAGAAATGCGTTGAACCACTTCTCTCGCCCGCCCTCCCTTACAATTAACAGCGTGCAAAATCCCTTCTCCCACCCTATCTGCTGTTTCTCAGCCATGCCCACACCTATGCAATTGCCATCACTGGCGATGACAATTGCCGTCACTGGCGATGATTCCTTGCTTGGGTTATCAAAGGGGCTGCTCCTACCATTGCCGGAGAGTGGGACTGGCTCCTATCGTTGTAGGGGGGGGGGGGGGGGGGGCGGATGCAAGGTGGGGGAGCCCTGAAGCGAGATGGGGCGTAATTAGTTGCCAGCGGAAGCGTGGGCGTCAGCAGCTCACCCGTGTGTTGTTGCGCTCGGCTTTGAGCTCCGCAATCTCCTCCTCGCGCTCCAGCAGCTGCTCCCGGCACGCGTTCAGCTCTTTCGTCAGCGCCGCGAACTCCTACACGAGAAAACAAGCAGAGAACAAAGGTCCCCGCCGTTGAGATTTGTAGACCACAGCGGGTAGAGTTGTTCACGATAATTACGAGCGCACGACCGGGGAGAATCTGCCCGACGTTGTCACATGGGCGGTCATCAAGCGTCTAACCGGAGGAGTTCTAGGCTGCCACAGGGCTATGTTGTCCGCAGGAAGCCGTGCAGACAAATCCATTATTGTACTGTACTGAGACCTGTTTCTGCTCCCCGCTTTCACAATCCCCACACTGACGAGAGTGATGAAGCATGGTCAAATAACTCCCACGACCCAAACAGCATTGTACTAACACAAGGGCTGCGCATGTACATATTCATGCCCAAGTGCTGATGTTTACACAGAACTTGGGTACTCAGTTAAGGACTCGGGAGAGATCCTGGACAGGCACATACACCATTTACTACTGATGAGATCTATGACCGGGAATAGAACCCAGGTTTGAAGGATGTGTGGCAGTGTGCGACTCATTATGCGGCCAGTCCCCACACCATACACATAAAGACGTGCGCACAAGATGACACAAGTTCATAAAACGAAAGCGTTTGGATTTAAATGACATCTGATTCATATAATTAAGAATCTCCGAACCCTGTCCAGTCAGGGAAGGGGCATTTGTGAAATTAGTTTTGTAAACATACCCATATTTTGTTTACATTACGTATGTTTTTACCTTCAATTTACATGTGTGTGTGTATATATAGTAAACTATATACTTTTAAATAAAAGGATGATGAAACATAATGCAATGTGTTGCAATGACATATGATACAATGTCAAAATACGAGTACATGGGATGCTGGCTTCATTAATCAATTAAATGCCTTGCGCATCTGTGCACACAGGCACATGTGCACGCTCAGGCACATATGGCCAATCATATGTTCATACAAATACAGCTTAATATAACTATCAAACCCTTGTGTCTGCATCAAATTGTGTGGACATTTAAAGGTATTCTAGACAACAACAAGACAAGTCCTGCCCACCTCTAAACTATTTATACGACCACCCATACAAGCAATATGTTGGCGTTCCGGTATATGTATGACAGTTGTAAATTTGGAAAAGGTACTGGCCCAGGATTGTTTTGGCATAAAAACAATCTGTCAATATATAGCGCATGACATCTTCAACAGGCAAACATTATAGCGAATTGTTTACATATACAAAAAGGATTTACAATAATACTGTGTAATGTATAAAGTGTATTCTATAGTCTGAACAGTGATATATATATTTTTAAAGATATAAATCACTTTGCCCTTCATATCATTGGAGGTTAGGGCCCAATGAACGTCCATTATAGACAACAACAAAAAAATCAGTCAAAGTATTCTTTGCTGTAATTCAATTTTAACAGCGTATTTTGTAATTTCAATGGACAAATTTACATCACTGTGTTTCAAAGTGACAGGTCCAGATATCAGATGTATAGATTTATATTAAATGGGACTTGTATGATTTGAACAAAAATGTTTTTTAACAATGCGCTATGGAAGTCAGAAACAGAAAAAAGAACGCACTTATTTCCCTTTGTGGTGGAATCCGCCACACGCCTCTTGGCTGGGCCCAGAGTTGCGATGTCAGAACCCATTTCCAGTGTCTCATGCAATTACCTTTTATGAGCCTTTGTATGGCAGTACACTGGCATTTTATACAGCTTACAATATAATCTAAGTGTCTTCAATAGTGTGATAGGTCTTGAAGCCTCCAACTTAACACTCTACATTCTCAAACTTAATAACAGATATTTCAGCGGTAGACTAAACTTGGGTAAAGGTGCAGCCCTGCAATTTCTCGCTCACACTGCTGATGGTGGAAGGGGCATCCACTAGAGGGAGGTCTAGAAGGTTCCCCAAGAGGGTATTTTGGACTACTCCAAGCTGCTCAGATGTCTCAGAATCTTTATTCATACCGGAGGAGTCCAATGAGCGATAAAGCTTTTTTTCACGGACGTCAGGGAGAGGCGGCTCAGATTGTTGCAACAAACAGTAGAAAAACACAAGAGGACTGCAAAGTATAGGAAAGGTAAGCAAATCACTAAAACAACAAAATATATAGACAATAAAACCTTGGATTGCGAGTAACTTGGTCTGCGAGTGTTTCGCAAGATGAGCAAAAATTTAAAGTAAATATTAATTTGATAAACGAGCGACGTCTTGCAATACGAGTAGTACGTATACACTTTGTCTGCCGAGCGTCACGTGATCACAACTGATATACGAGTGCTTTGGATTACAAATATTGTATGTTTCCGGAACGAATTATGCTCGCAATCCAAGGTTTTACTGTATTTGGATTTTACAAGGTAAAGACCACCGAGCTTTAAACTTGTCTTTCAGAGGCGACCTCACCACAAATAATAAACCCAACGGAGTGGCTTATCATGTGGTAATGTATAGCAGCAGCCAAATAATCCGAGGAGGTGGCAGTATCGTATTTTAACACACCAGACTCGACCTCCGAGTGAGTAATTGTGGAGTACCTATGCAAGTCCAGTGTACTAACCATTGCACGACACCAGCAGCAGACTAAATTAGAGCCGGCAAATAGGTATCTATACGATTAAACCTTCATGAACCATGCATGCATCCAGGGCTGGATTAAGGTTATGAGGCGCCTAAGGTTAATAGGAGGAAAGGGCCTAAGTGTATTGCAAAACATTTTATGAAGTCAAACGCATTTATTTACCTACCTATGTTCAATTAACACAATGAAGCAACTCAAGGTAAATTCATCAAACTTTTCACTCACGACACTTATTTTTATTTGTTTTCCCTCACTATAGCTGTGGAGAAGTCACAAACGATATCAATCGTAATCCAAAAACAACAAAAAAAAACGTCCCAATGGCCGTGGGACACCGTCGCTCAACTCTTACTTATATATGGAATGTAGGGCCTAAAGGAAGGCCTGTAAAAAAATTCGGGCCTGCATGCATCATATTTCACAGATATAGCGTGTGGAAAAAATAAGTACGGAGAGTTCTGGAAAGAAAATCAGTGAAGTACTGCTAATCAAGGTTTATTTTGTTTGGTCACATGAAAATACTGTTACCTTATGAAACGATCCCATTATGCATTCACATCGTGGCCAAATTATAATAAGCCATCACAGTAAAATCAACCAAAGCCCGTCTCCCCAGAGTGACATCTCTAAAAACCTAAAGTTGACTGCCTAGGTGGCAATTGAATCTTCAAAAACCTATGGTCCATTAAGCAGCCTGTAATTTTATTTTAAAATTGGCTTCTTTACCTGTGGGAGCAGTCAACCACATAACAGCGAAATTCAGCCTAGCAGTGACTGTGGTTTAATAAACCACTTAAAAGTAGGAAGCACTTTATTGTGTTAAGTGCTAAGCTTTGTAAATATTCCCGTGTCTGTAAGCCAATCAATTCAGCTGTTTCTCATGTGTGGGACGAACCAAACAGGTGTAGTCACTGCATTCAGCATGTGAGTGACCCACACGGTCTGGAAATTAAAATTAATTACTGTACTCGTATAACGAAGCACAAACCTATAACCGAATTGTTGTCACGAGCTCCTTTTTTAAACGTAATTTTTTTTAAAGGCTTCCAAAAACATATCGTGCTTTCTGGGCAAATGGAGATTTATGGGAAGGTAGTGTTTTTTGTTGTTGCTCAGATTAGCCACTGCAGCAATCACAACTCGCAAAGGGGACTCTGCTGCATGCCACCCCAAGCCATTAAACATAACCTGGAATGTTTTCAGATCAACTCAATGAAATGAATCGTGAACAAAACACATTCCTGCGGAGGGAGCTCGTAGGAACGTTGGATTGCTCGGTCAATGGCCAGAGTCAACGGCGGCACCACGTGGTGTATTCCGCAAATATGCCCGACTGTGAGGGCGGGCACAAGCTGGCGTGAGTAGGTTAAACGTTTGAGTTTTATACCTCCCCACCCAGCCCCTCCCCACCCAGCCCCTCCCCACCCCCTCCCCAGCCCCTCCCCACCCTCCCCTCCCCACCCTCCCCACCCAGCCCCTCCCCACCCTCCCCAGCCCCTCCCCACCCTCCCCACCCAGCCCCTCCCCACCCTCCCCTCTCCACCAAGCCCCACCCCTCCCATTTTATCCGGGTGTCCGGATACACGTGGACAGACATCCACAGACATACACAATTAATCCCCTGCCTCCTGTGAATTAATCCCGGTTGGGATTCCAGTCCACTACGTTTCCTACCAGTAATGCCCACTAGGAGCGCATTTGTTATATATCCGGGTGTCCGGCTACACGTGGACAGACATCCACAGACGTACACAATTCATTCCCTGCCTCCTGTGATAATCCCGGTTGGGCTTCTAGTCCACTACGTTTCCTACCAGTATAATCCTGCGGATGTGACTCAAATTTATGAGTACACCTTAATCTTTTTTTTCAATGTTCCTAAACATTATGCTCACCGACAGAACGTCTAACTCGGCAGCCCTCTTTCGCTGCTGGTGCAGAAAAGTGAAGCGAGCGAGCGAGCCCATCTGGCTGATTACGTGCCTCTGGCTGCCTCTTCAGTGAGGGGGCTTCTCCCCTTCGAGTGGACGTTTTGTTTCTGCAGTGGCAGCATCTTGGCGGCGGCGGCGGTGCCCCCATCGCTAAGCGTAACGGGGACGATGCGGGTGCCAATACCAACGGGTAAATTAAAAAAAAAGTTGTCGCGCATGAAGAGCGAACGCAACATTCAGCTGACCTCGGACGCAGCGACTCCATGTAGAAAGCTGTTCGTGAATGCATGCTTGAAATCTTGAAACAAATCAGATAAACTAGAAGTTGTTGTAGGTCCAGCTGAGGAATATTTTGCCTAAAATGCAACCTTAGCTGCTTTGCGAACTACGTGGTACACTTAAATAGCTTTTGTTATGCCGACAGAGCATATTTGAATTTCCTCAGCAATTTTTTAGATGAATGATGCTTTCCCACCTCTACTTGCAAACGGTATTTTTTTTTATTCA